CATACATTACAAACATACATACATACATCGTGGGGGGAGGCAGACGGGTCTTAAACAGTCGTCTTAGGTGAAACAGAAGCCGGAGTTGACTATTTCAAAGAAGGTTACAAGCGGCCCCCTAGTCGACCCTTTTGTTCACTGCACAATATTTATAGATTAGCTTGATATATGATTTACAGCTGAGTATCTCGACTAGTATAGGTTAGGTTAGGTTAGGTTAGGTTAGGTTAGGTTAGGTTACTAGAAATTCGTTTGTTTTCGTCGTGCTTTCTGAACTTATCTCTTCATGCCCAACATACTGTAAACAAATGAATGCCACTGCTCATGTACCTACCACCTACTTACTACCTGACACTTACCTACCACCTGACACTTACCTACCACCTGACACTTACCTACCACCTGACACTTACCTACCACCTGAACACGTACCTACCACCTGACACTTACCTACCACCTGACACTTACCGACTACCTGACACTTACCTACCACCTGACACGTACCTACCACCTGACACTTACCTACCACCTGACACTTACCCACCTGACACGTACCTACCACCTGAACACGTACCTACCACCTGACACTTACCTACCACCTGACACTTACCGACTACCTGACACTTACCTACCACCTGACACGTACCTACCACCTGACACTTACCTACCACCTGACACTTACCTACTACCTGACACGTACCTACCACCTGACACGTACCTACCACCTGACACTTACCTACCACCTGACACTTACCTTCCACCTGACATGTGCAAAAGGCAGAACCTTTGTATTAACCACCACGGCTGAGTAGTGACCACATAACCTTGGCGAGACTCACTTGTTGTTAAGATCAGTGGAGTGTGTCGTCATCAATGTTTTAGGAGTCCACGACCACCGCAAGCCATCTAACCAGGAGGTCAAGCCACCCAACTACCGCCCCACCCACCCACCCACTCGGTATTTGTTATCACTCACTCACTCACTCTTTCTCATTCACTGACTCACTCACTCGCTCATTCTTTCCCACTCACTCACTCCCTCACCATACTCTCACTCCCAGCATCTCTGGTTCCTCTTATATTCCCCACACGTTAAAGTATGTATTAGTGCAACACAAAGTAACAGCTGCATGAAGCAACACTAAAAGCAGTAAGAGGTCCTGGCAGCGTCATCGGTAATGTTAGGAATCAAACTTGTGCCACGCATCATTTGTCACCCAACGGAGGACAATGCTAAATTTTCTTCTTATACCAACCGTGTCGGACACTACACTATAGCTCAATATACCGTAGTCTAACACGTATAAAATATATATCAACATATTCAGATACATTTTCTTATTATAACACAACACAATTTTGAAAGTAATTGGAAAAAGTTAGATTTAAAAAGATGGTGATTTCAATTCTGCTGTATAAAGTGATCCACACGAGACAGAGAGAGAGAGAGAGAGAGAGAGAGAGAGAGATATCACCAAGTAGATTTAGTAATGCGTTATTGAATTATACAAGAAAATCAATACATATAAAATACACACAGTAGAATTTATCATAAAAAATAAATACACGAGGTTGACTCTTACACAACACCACTACAAAAACTCATCTTAACCTGTCCAGCTCCCCGACAAACTGTGGTGGTGTGGTTGGAAATGATGTGACAAAAACCTTTCTTATGAATATATCTGTGGTGGAGGTATAGGCAAGAGGTGTGGTGGTAGAGCGTGTGGTTCACTAACTCTTATTCATCTGGACTATCACTACCTCACATGGATGGTTCATAGTTTAGTACTAATGTTATGTGTCGACTCTAACAACCATCCTGACTGTCTCTGTAACTCTTGACACGAAGCCAACACAATAATTTCTTCCTCCCATTTTAAAAACACCAAATGTTTACCAGGTGTTAAAATATTTGATTGAAAAAAAAATTATCGGGTATTGTTAATGTTTGAATGTTAAATGATTCTTGAGACTTATCATCAATTAAAGACATAAATAAACTTAGGAAAAAAGCTGTTATATTGTTAAATGTTTCGGTGTAATCAATGACCATAAGAGTGATTAGTAGAGATTGTCAAGAGTTCCTGTATGGTAACACTGTCTCTACCACTTGGGGGAAGGGGGAGTGGGTGATGGAGAGGGGAAGTGGGGGATAGGGAGGGAAGGGGAAGTGGGGAGAGGAGGGTGATGGGAAGGAAGAGGAAGTGGGGGAGAGTAGGGGACAGGGGATGAGAAGGGGGAGATCAGTAGGGGAGGAGAGGAGGGGTAGCGAGAGGCTTAGGAGCAACACACACACACACACACACACACACACACACACACACACACACACACCTAAGACTCGTACGGTTATCCAAACTTACTAAATATTCTTGTAATATTTAGTTTACTTATATTGGCGTGTGTTAAAGTGTAAGATAAACAAAATGAACAGAAAACGAAAGTTCTATTACATAAAACAAAAACAACTTCCGCGATATAATACCTGCATAAATCTGGCAAAATTCTCACGATTTCCAAGGTAATATATCAGCGTTCACCCCACATAAGTTGGGTTGGATCCTACACATAACACCGTGCAGGACGCTGTAAGGGTGTCGATGCCCCTCCCTTGACGCTCCGGGCGGTGTTGACAACTCACAGACACATGTTTATGGCCTCTACAACGTGCTGACGACTCTCTCTCTCTCGGGAAATTAATGAACTGAATGTATATTGTTCTTATTACACCAGAATAAATTAAAAAAGCGGTTTATTTACACGGTCTGTTTGGCCTAAGGGATTTAAACTTTACGCTGGAGAGGTATAAAAAATTCTAGTGTTTTGATTAGAGTGGCAAAAAACCCAGCTGGGCAAATGTTAGCTTGTTGATACTAGTGTGTGTTGAGGAGGTGAACCCTAGTGACCGGGAGCAGACAGGGTGGTGACCTCTACACGACAATGCCCGTCACCCTACTGCCCTTCCCTCCGTGACTCTAGTAATGTAAACACCACATGAGAATAAACCTGTGTACGTGTTTGTATGATAAGAGCTCTCACACTAGTCTTGTTTTCAGAGTAGAGAGAATTGTTTGCCCTGGAGAGTCAGTGTATTGTTTGATATTAATGTTTTTGTTTGTATTGTCTGAGTATTACTATTTATTGTTTGAGTTTTGCAGCGAATAATTAATATAACAATAACACGAATAAATAGATGAATTAGTTTATATCTTAATACTATCACTGCAAATACCGTTTCTACTACTAAATTAAATAGAATACAAGTCGTTAATGATCCGATATCGTTACGTCTTTTGTCCTATGCATATTTTCAAATCATTCAAGCTGCCGTGTGATCTTATGACACACCCAAGTTCTCATCATCATTTACCTTCACCAGCCACGATGCGACCTTGTCAACACAATACACTTGAAAATGATATCAAAAGAAAGAGAGAGAACTTAGAACACAAAAATAAGTGAGAGAGAGAGAGAGAGTGAGAGAGAGAGAGAGAGAGAGAGAGAGAGAGAGAGAGAGAGGCTTCATTACTCTATGGTCAACTCCCTCCTTCACAATCTATTAGTCTCAGATATCCAAATATTGTCATTTATAAATATTTAGATAAAAATAGGGACGCTGTACTTATCTTTATGTCACTGTTATAAGACGGAATAATGTCGTAGGTAGATTCCTAAATATGTCAGGTTTTAGTTATTTTTTTTTACTTAATTACGCATTTACTAAGCTTATAAAGACGAAGAATTATTGCAAAAAAAAATGTTGGTCAGAAGAACAAATCAACACTCCAAAAAATAATCCCCAGATTTCACTTTCACACCAACACGACACGACGCCATGATTGAATGAACGCTTTCTATAAATCCCACGGATACGGAGTGAAATGTGGAGGTCGTCGTGTGAGGTGGAGGTCGTCGTGTGAGGTGGAGGTCGTCGTGTGAGGTGGAGGTCGTCGTGTGAGGTGGAGGTCGTCGTGTGAGGTGGAGGTCATCGTGTGAGGTGGAGGTCGTCGTGTGAGGTGGAGGTCGTCGTGTGAGGTGGAAGTCGTCGCGTAAGGTGGAGTTCGCGTGAGGTAAAACGTGTAGAAGAGGAAGGATTTCTTTTATTTTACACGGAAATCGGAGTGGATTTCAAGACTTGGAAAATATAAATCTGGGAGAAGAGGAGATAATGGGAGAGACATGATGTAAATAAGCTTTAGAATTATCACATTGTTTAGTACTGGCTAATGTTAGAGTTTATCTTACGTCATAAATGTTTGTTTTGTAAATATTGGAAAGTTTTATGGATGTTTATTAAGTGAAATGAATTTGCATAATTACGTTCCAAAAGTCGAAAAGAAAAGAAAAGAATTGAAAACATAATATAGGGAAAGGAAAGAAAAAAAATAAGACCTAATTGTATTTCTTGACATGAAAAAACATCCATGGCACCCCGAGGGACCCTCATGTACACTGAGGGACCCCCAAGTACACCGAGGGAACCACATGTACACCGAGGGACCCCCATGTACACCGAGGGACCCCATGTACCCCAAGGGACCCCCAGTGACCCCGAAGGACCCCCAGGGAGGTGTAAATATACAAAAAATCCAATGTTTGAATTTCCCAAAGCTGCAGTTTGTACTCGTGCGTGTGGTGAACTGTAGTGGTGGTGAGGCAGAGTACATTTGATGAACTATGGCTATGTGAGACAGAGTACAGACTTTAATATCATTGTTGTAAAGAAATAACCGAATCGGAAACTTACTGCCAGAATGACTTTTTTTCCAGGATTTTAGTCAGACTTGAATACGACATTAATCTAATTTGTTATTATCGGGATGCTGGTCCGTCGTGAGTAAATCTTCCTCAGTTTGGTTAGGTTAGGTTAGGTTAGGTTGAAGCCCGATAAACATACGCGCCTCATTAACCAAATTTTACCTAAACACACACATACGTAAACAGCATTTTTTTTTTACGGGGATTAGCCCACCCGAGCACAGGTTAGGAACACTTACTTGTCTTTTGTGTTATCCTTATCCCTAGACGGTCAAAGTTATCCTCTTAAAAATCCCTGAAAAAAAAATAAATAAAATTAGAATCATTGTGTATGAAAACAATAAATAAAATTAGAATCATTGTGTAGTGTTGAGAGCCTAGTGACATTTGTGTTGGTACAGCAAAACACTGATACAACATCACAATTCCTTATCACAAATTAAAAAAAATCTCGACAAATAACTGTAAATATGAATAAATACAAATATAATTAAAATGACCTACATCAATACTTTTTTTAAACTGCCTCTCCCAAGACGCATATCAGTGTTTTATCTTACAGTAGATGATAATGATAAGAAAGGGTTTAGTAGGAGAAGAAGCAACACTTATGAATGTATAGAAGGAGTTACAAAGAGAAACACGCAAGGATACAGACAGAAACAAAGAAATAGACAGAAGATAAGCAAAAAGGTGAGCAAATAAATAGACAGACAGACAGACAAAGAGAGAGAGAGAGAGAGAGAGAGAGAGTTGAAGATAAATAGGAGATCAAATTCATAATCATATGTGAAAGGGTGGTGGCGGGTTAGGCTGGCCGACTCGCATGTACTTAGAGGGGGAGAGTTCAAGACTGGGTCCAGTGGTGGTGGATGTATGGTGCCAGGGGATGGGTCCGACTGGTGGCATCGCCGACACATCTGGATTCGGACCTTGAACTTGGGCGGTATACAGCCTAACGTGTCACTGCCGGTATGAGAGGGTGAAGAGGTTGCTATGGTGTGGTGGGCCCTAAGACGAACCACTGGCCTCCACGTGGCAGGGTCTGGTAACTGGGAGTTAATCTCAGGCTAACAGTGGTCGCACATTTTGTTATCAGAGAGAGAGAGAGATGAAAGACACATATACATAACAGTTAAATGTCTATAAGATCTGACCTGTTGTGTCTTTTCTCACGAGTCTTTATTCCTAATTTCCGGAATCATCTTAGTCTGGAATCACTGGTGAGTCAGTTTTCTTTATGACGAGTGACTCACATTCTCAAAAGGGAATCCCATAGTAAACCACGTAATAACGTTAATGACAGTCACCATGCTTATAACTAAAGTATTTAACACTTTATATATAGTAACTCTATTAAAAGAAACTCACGTGAAAGTTAAAAAAACAAAAAATTCATTTCACACATTCCTTTGCATCTTCGAGAGAGTGTAACTTGAGGGAGACGCTTTGTGGTCGTCACTCTTTCCCGACGAGGTTCTTTAGGCGGGAAAGTGTTGGTTGTCTCAAAGCCTAAATGAGGACAAAGGCGGCATTAGGCTCACTTTCAGTCTCCCATGGCTGAGTCACCTTAACCAACCACATTAACTCAGCCTCTCACGCTCTTCACGACGGTTTTTCTATTTCCAAATTGGTTAAGTTTTACAGGTTAGATTCTGGGTTACGTTGAGCTGGTGTAAACAGATAGAACCTTAGAAATTCAGAATGTTTGTTACCAGTTCTCTTAGGTGTTGAGACAGATTGTTCGACTCATAACTAACTATACACTGTGGGATCATTTATCACTCTAACCCACACTGACGTCATGCCTCAAACAACTCCTTGTATATATAGAATGTCGAAAGCAGTAGTTTATTCTCCTCCATAACCTCTAAACACCTTGTGATTTTCTAACCTCAGTCTCTCCATCAATCACAAAGTAAGAGTGAGGTGTAGAAAACTCGTGTTGTCATCAGCGTCCGGGTAACACTAAGGACGTTCGTGTGTCTGGATCGTAACTTTTTGCTCCCTGTAACCTGGACGTGGAAGATGACACTAAGGCGGCAAATGTTGTTACGTCAGCGGAAAGATTCACTAAATAAACGTTCCGAATGATATGCTGATATTTAAAGTTCTACGCCAAAATACGGCGGAGGACATTACATAACCTAGATACTGCTAAGACTCAAGAGCGTTACATGCATTAAAAAAAAAGTTGCCTTAAAATCACGTGAGGGGTAAGAGGAAAAATCAGTTCCGGGCCGGCCAAAATTTTGCGTTACGTCGCCTAAGGTTGCATCGAGGGGCGTGATTTTCTTTCTCTTGTGACGAGGCCAGAGGGAACGGATTCTTTTCGCTACAACAACCAATTTAACGCCTATGTGTTCTCTTTACAGCCAGGCGGAGATGATTCTCTCGCGGGATGTACAAACAGCAATTAAAAAACCGCAGTATAGGAAATCCCCAGCACACACGCCTAATTACGTGGTTTACCCCTCGTGAACATAGTTACAATACAGTACGCTCAAAACACACCCCTGACGCAACAATTGTTTACATTATACGCTCAAAACACAGCTTAGGCTAGTTTAAATTAGGTCATGTTAGATGATGTTAAAATTGGTTAGGTTAGGTTGAAGCTCTTCACGCCCCGGGCCTCATATGTTGGGTGATTTGCTAGGCGCCTCCCCGCCACTGACTAGTCCTGGGACGCTGGGCTTCATCTGTCGAAGTGTAGTTTAGAAGTGGTTTGGAATCATCTGTGTGTGTCTGTGTGTGTAATCTTTCCCTTACAAGTATTTTTATCATTTCACCCTCTGTTTAATCCATATACAATGCCTCCTCCTCCTCCTCCTCCTCCTCCTCCTCCTCCTCCTCCTCCTCCTCCTCCTCCTCCTCCTCCTCTCCCCGAAGACCTCCCACCTCTCCACCTCCTCGACCCCAGGGAAAACCACGATCACCTCAGCTTCCCAAATCCATCACACACGAACATAAAGACACAGACCATCATATATTAACTCTCAAGGCGACAAGAAATATGTTAATAAACCAAAAACAAAAAAAAGCATACATATTACACTTCCTATATATCGTTATGGATACTGAAAGGTTCTAATTATATTGTTATGTTCATTAGATGTTTAAAGGTCATCTTACTTGCTCAACCATGGGGACTATTCTGAAGGTTGTGGTAGAAGGAGCAATTAAAAGACACGGAACATCTCCCAGCACCAAGGACTTGTAGGAACAGGAAGACACTATAAGTTAGACATACATACATACATACATACATACATACATACATACATACAGCACACTAGGAAACATACGTCACCATGTTGTTATTGTGTAACTTTTATGCATCGATAAACAACCTGGGTTTCTCTTCACGCTGCCATGAGGTTGACTGCACATGACTGCCTATTGCTCCTACTTGTCAATATTTACATAAGTCTATTATTTCAGGCAGGTGGAGGTTGCGTGGCGGAGGTGAGCCCTGAACCACCTGTGTCAAGGCTGGTGACTCCTGAACCACCTGTGTCAAGGCTGGTGACTCCTGAACCATCTGTGTAAAGTACAGTGGTGGTAGTGCTACCTGAGTTCACCTGCTACATAACTAAGGTAACTCGTCACTCGGTGTTTGTTATCTACTCGTCCGTCGTCACACAACTTGTTTAGTTCGATCGTCTTTTTTAAGCTGTTTCTTCAACTCTCTTCGTTAGAGTTCGATCATAATATGGTTGTGTAGAAATGACTAACACGATAGCTTAATTTAAATCATGTTAGATTTGTTAGTTTGTTAGTCATTGTTCTAAGTTAATAATCAAATTACCTGTCTAAATCGTTATGTCTCTTGAAAGGTTATTGGTCATAGTTCACTTCTTGTAAGGTGTCCGAAGACGTGATCAGCCACCTTAGTCTGTCTGGCGCACTTTACACACGTCCTCCCTCTGTCTGTTATCTACTGGTCTCTGGTCTACAGGACAGCCCCCCCCCCCTCCCTCGTTGACTCCCCTCTCCTCCCTCGCTGACTCCCCTCTCCTCCCTCGCTGACTCCCCTCCCCTCCCTCATCTCCCCCCACCTCCACCTATTTTCAGTTTTGGGTCATTTAACATAAACATCCCGGATGACATATGTTCCTCCCTCTCACCCCCGCCCACCTCGCGCAGTCCGCCATTACAACAAAATCCAGCCCATAAGAGCCCGCACCGATATATATTTACGTACTACAGCCCTGTAAATGTATTCAACGTATATCATTATGTCTAAATCACATGTAAGTTGTATATTTTCAGCCACCGGCTGCAACTCTATTAATGAACCGTTATTATTATTATTATCACCTCTGACTTGGTCACCCCCCTCTTGGTACATCATCCATTCATTCTCACTGACACCCGCATCATCCACTGCCATCCATCCCATCTCTCTCTCTCTTGCTTCTACACCTCTCTCCTCCCTGTCTTCCTCACGTCATTGTCCCTATCTCCTCCCGCACCATTTCACGCCCCCTGACACCGTGTGCTGGTGGTGGTAGTAGTGGTGACGTGGTAGTGGTGGTGGTGGTGGTAGTGGTGACGCTGTGTGCTGGTGGTGGGTGAGGGAGGGGGGGGGGCGAGGTTGGACACGCGCTGTCTGGCTGGACGCGTCGTTGCGTCACGTTTGGTTTATGTGGTGTGACACTACGGTTTTATGACGTCACATGCTATAGGTGTCGTGACCTCACACCAGGGTATTATAACGTCAAGCCAATTGGTTTGGATATCACATCTGTGTAGTGATGTCACACCGTTATTTGTGACGTCATGATTTTCTTATAAACGTTAAATAGGTTAGGTTAGGTTAACTTAGGTTAGGTTAGGTTAGATGAGATTGGGTTAAATTAGGTTAGGTTGGGTTTCCGTCAAGGTAGGTTAGTCTTCACGTGAAATAAGCCGGGGTGTCTAATCTTCAGGTGGTCCGAGTCGTCCAACAATTACTTGTGTGTCTGGTGTGACGTTGTTTTGACTGTGACTTTCTTTCCTTTCTTTCGTCTTTCCTTCTTTCTTTCATGTCTCTTTCGTCCTTTTTCTCCTTCATTCTTTTCTTCTCCGTTTATTTCTTTATTTCCTTCTTTCCATCCCGTTCTATCTTTTTTTATGTCCATCGTTTTTATATCTCCATTTCTTTTATTTTTCCTTCCGTCTTCTTTTCTCTCTCATTATTTCCTTCCTTCGTTCTTTCCACCACATCTTCCCTATCTTTATTCCCTTCCTTCGTTCTTTTATCATTTTCTCTATCTCTCTCTCCCCTTCTTTCATTTCTCCTTCTTTTCT